TATATCAATTCTAAATAACAAAGTTTATGGTATATCATACCCTTTTCCCATACATAAATGTGCCCTTCAACTTGACTTCATCTGACATCTATGTCGTTCAATTTTGAGTGCACACAGGTAGATACTTAAACTTGTATAAAATTGAACAAATATACACATTCGTCTTACATAACATCCTACATGATAATTTTGTGTTCTGGATAGTGTATTATGTCATGTATAAGAATATGATATATATTTCTACTTGTTCTATTTTAGACAAATTTAAATATCTACTTATACACATTCAAAAATTAAAAACTGAAATACATAAATATCAATTAAATTATTAAAATCAAATTAAAAGACATATTCATATATTATGACTTTAAAAATTCCAAAGTACTAATACAATTCCTAATGATAGAATTGAGTAAAACCGTGTGTCCCCCCTACATGTTGTCAGGCTATTTGGGTCCTAGAGAGACAGGAATTAAATATGGTCAAACTTTTTTTCTTGCAAAGTATTCAACCCTTTCTTGGTCATTTCCTTTTCTACTCCACTTGTTTACTTAAATAACATTATTTTTTTTAATATATAGTGAGATCCAAGCAATCACTTCCTATCAAACAGTCACAAAGAAAAGAGAGAAATAATTAAGATGGAGTCAAGTGGTTGTGATGAAATTCAGGAGATAGTGATAGTAGGTGGAGGCCTTTGTGGACTTGCCACAGCTCTTGCTTTGCACAGGTTCTTTTCTCTCTACTTCTGTTTTTCTTTCTCTTTTTTACTTTCTTTGGACAAGTTATAACTAACTAAGATATAAATATTGGGAGTGAGATGTGAATTCACTCCCTTTCAGACCAGAATCTTAATCTGATGTGCTAGACTAACTTCATCATTTCAATATTTAAGATTTATTTGGTTATGCGAGATGAAATCATGATTTGAAATAAGGTGGAATGACACAAGTGACTCTGGTACTTGATTCCATTTGTAAACTTTGATTTTTATATATTTACGATTTTGCCAATTAAACTCCTCAACTCACTAAAACACAATATTTTTAACTTTTGATCATTGATCAAACTTATGCAGCACTAATATTGCTGAGTTGAAAAAATGTGTCAAAGCTAATAAATTTAAAATATTTTACATTAAAAAAATATTAATTATTTAAAAAAAAAACTGAAATAAGCTATAATAATAATAAAAATAATAATAAAAGCTCTCCTCCTCCTTCTTAATACCATCACCCAACCAAACTTCGGTATTGAAAAATTTCATTGACCAGTTTGAGGAAGCTTGAAGAACACTAAATG